GGGATTCCCCCAGAGACACGCCTTTGATTTATTCATTCAGTACATATCTGTTGCACGCTTTTTGCCGTACGGTGGCCAGGCTCCCTCTGTGTGTTATCCTACAGGGTGATCTGCAAAGGGCCTCGGTCAGATGCTTCCACTGGGCAGGGTGGGAGAGCTGAAATGGTATTTATTTGCTTTGAACAATAAAAGCTGTCTTTCCCGACCACAGGTGTTAAAAATGCGAAGGCCGAGTTCTAAAGCAACAGTTGTCTAAGCTTCTAAAACTTTGGTTTAAAATTGCTTGGGGGACTTGTCAGAAGTGCATACCTTGGCTCTAACCTCAGAGATACTGATTCAGTAAGGTGGGCAAATCTGCGGTTTAAAATAAGAGCCAGAGTAATTCTGACGGAGGCAGACAATGGGGCTTTAGAAACACCGGTGGCAGGTAGGAGGACTCCTGTTGGGGCTGCATAGATCACAGTTACCTGGGAGGCTTTTTTCCAATCACACTCACCTTCCCCCTCCATTTCCACCCTTTCTGCCCTGGTGAGCCACTTTTCCTTCTGAGTATCATTTCTCCCTTCTGGTATGTGGGCGAAGCAGAAAAGTTGAGAACCAGCCGTTCTTAACAAAAACAAAACCAAAAATCAGCTTAAGGCAGAGTTCAGGTTGAGGGCTCCTGTCAGAGGATGCTTTTGTTTTCCTTTGAAATTTTTGGGAGATGGGATCTAAGGATTGGTAAAGGCCGGTTGGCCACACCCCTTGCAGCCTGCCCAGCCCCGCCTGTTAACCTGTTCTGGCCAGGAGGTGGCAGGTCAGGAGACAGACCTCAGTTCACACACACCACCCAACCTCTGTCAGCTGTGCAATCTTGAATGTAAACTCACTTACGTTTGGACATAATCTTTCTGAGTTGCACCTCACTCCCGAATAACTGGTAGGATGTGGACTGTCGGGGGGGATAATAAGGGTGGTGTGTACAAAAGAGGAGGGGCTCTGGAGCAGGATGCTCAAAGCTTGCCGAGCTTGTGAATCACCGTGGGATCCTGTGAGAGTGCAGATTCCGATGCGCTAGATGTGAGATGGGCCTGAGAGCTTGCATTTCTAACAGACTCCCAGGTGATGTTCATGCTACTGGCCCACGGACCACTCTCTGAGTAGCAAGAATTTAAAGGTGCCCCCCTCCTTAGGCTTGCTGCAAGCTGTTAGTGCAGACAGTCAGCTAATTTAACGAGCTGGCAATTCTTTTTTCAGTCCTAGAAATAGAAGGAAATACCTACGCCTTACCTAATGCTGATCGTGAAAACTGGAGCATGGAATGCTTTCAGCCGTAAACACTGTTCTCCCTGGTCCCTTATGTTATTTCTCATCCCTAATAACATAAGAAATACTGAAGAAGAGGGTAGAGGGAGGAATCATCTATCCTGTGGGCCAAGAGACTTCAAAGGTACAAAGTACAGGCGGCCCTTAGGGTTCAGGAATCATGGTTCCTTGTCTCCCAGAGTTTACCTGTGACAGAAAGGCTTTTAAATATAAAACAAAGAAAGAGGAGAACGTCTTTCCTTCATTTAATAACACCAACTTTAAACTTGAGTCAGAGTCACCTGGAGGGGCTGTTAAAATGCATATTGCCAGGCCCCACCCAGAGCCTCTAATTCAGTAGCATTTTAGGTTCCCAGGGGAATACTGATGATCACACTTGGGCTAACTGGCACATCTTTGAGAGCGGTGTGCATGGAAAGTAGTGCCAGCCTGTGCCACCTCCTCACAGTTCTGACCCCTCCCTTCAAAGTGGCATTGCCAGCAGTGGGAATGTTTAAGCTGGGCTGGCGTTTGGGGCGTGAATGGGAGATTCACCTGTCTTCAGGTGTCTGAAGGTCCTGTGAGGGTCAGGAGAGATGAGCTTTCTGGCTGCCTGCAGATCACTCTTCCCAGCACAGCCTGACCCCAGAAGCCCGGGCTATCCAATGTAGCTGGTTGGCTAATCACCTCGGGGGCTTTTTAAAACTAGAGCTTCCCAGGGTGCATCCTCAGAGATTCAGGCGAGCAGCCAGGTTCGGGACCCCCTGCGTGGAGAGCAGTGAGGCACCAGATGGGCAGTGGAGAGCTGCTCTCCTTTCTAATGATTCTTGGATTCGGCTCTAATGAGCACTCAGCACGTAAATGATCCCCTGGCGGGAAATTGGACCCTCTGGAAGTACATTTCCTGCTGGATCCCTAAAATTAGAGTCGATAAATTCCACCACCATATTCCCAAGTGCTTCTTTTCCTACCCGAGGATGGCTACCAGCCAGGACCATCTGGCCATGGGGATTCATCCGAGGCAGAAGCCCCCCATCGGGAATAACACCGTCCGTGGCAGTGTTGAAAGAGGAATGGATAAAAGTCACTGATGACCAAATCCCAGAGAGAACACTTCCCAGGCAAACTCAAAGTCAGGTTAAAATTGAGGCAATTATTTAAATAATTAGCTTCAAGAAGAAATTCCTCTTTTGTTTATCATACATGGATTTGAGGACTGTGGTCTTCCTTGGAGTTTCCTGGTTCACCAGCAGAGCGTCACTGGGCGCCATGCTCTGTGCCAGGTGGGTTTTATAAAGGTGACTTGGGGACAGTCCCTGCCCTTATGGTGTCCACCGCTGGGGAGAGGTAGACACGTAAACACATAACTGTAAAAGCAGCATGACTCCTAGAACAGTAACCATCTAGAGAAGCCCTCCCAGCAGGCTCCATCCTTGCCTGGTCTCATTTTCTCTATAGCGCTTGTCACTATGGCAATGACTGGCTGAGTACTTGCTCATGCCTCATCTTCCCTCTTACAGCATGAGCAATGGGAGAGCAGAGAACAGACCCTTAGACCCTGGCATCTCTCAGCCGTTGGATGTGAGCCTCCCAGGAAGGGCATGAGTGCAGCTGTCTGCAGCTGAGGCATTCCCAGAGGGGGCTGCCAGCTGACGGCTGTGTGCCCACAGCACCATCTAAATCTGGGGCGGATGCTTAGGGAGGATGTGGCAGCTGCAGTGGTTCTCAGACCTTCGCAGGCATCAGAATCACCTGGAGGGCTTGTTAAAACACAGGTCGCCGGGCCTCACCCTAGAGTTTCCGATACAGTAGGTCTAGGATGGGGCCAGAGAATTTCTAACAAGTTCCCAGGTAATGCTGTTGTTCTTGGGCCCCAGACAACACTTTGAGAACCACAGGGGTGGTACGTCAGCATAGCCATCACAGGTTACCCAGTGGACGGATGGTAGGTGATCGAATGACAGAGAGGCAGGGAGACCTCTACAAGCTACGCCAGTGACCCAGGTGAGAGAAAATGGGTTCTGAAAACGGGCCACAACAGTGGTGCTGGAGAACAGAAAGAGGACACTCCAGACACACGTGATGCAGGGTGGGGCCTGGTGAGCGCCGGCATGTGGGAGTAGAGGGAAGAGGCAGAGCAGCTGGAAGGATGCAAATGCCAGGAACTGAGATGGGCATGGCGGGGGAGGGGAACGGCATGTTCCTTTGGGACCTGCTGGGTGTGTGCTTCTATGGAAACCTTCAGATGGGAATGTTAAAAAGGAAGTTGAAATACAATTCAAAACTCAAGAGAGGAATCTGAGCTGCAGGTACAGATTTGGGGGCCTTTGGGATAGAGCTGAAGCTGTGGGGCTGAGATTAGTCCAGGGCAGCTGATTAAAGAGATAGCAGTGGGGCTTCCCTGGTGGCGCAGTTGTTGAGAGTCCGCCTGCCGATGCAGGGGACACGGGTTCGTGCCCGGGTCTGGGAGGATCCCACATGCCGCGGAGCGGCTGGGCCCGTGAGCCATGGCCACTGAGCCTGCGCGTCCGGAGCCTGTGCTCCGCAACGGGAGAGGCCACAGCAGTGAGAGGCCCGCGTACTGAAAAAAGAAAAAAAAAAAAAAAAAAAAAAGAAGAGAGATAGCAATGATGCCTCCAGAAGGGAGCCAAGAGATTGGCTTGTACGGCGGGCAGAGAAAGAGATGAGTGGGGTGGTCCAAGGTCATGAAGCAAAGGGACAGGAGGGTGTCACTGGGAAGGGGCAGTACCATCTGTCAGAGAATCTCAAATGAGATGAGCCCAAGTCTGACAAATTCTGGGGTCGCCTCAAAAGAACCAGCCCTAAGAGATGGAGTTGTGTTTGAGTCATGAGTTAGAGGAACCGGTCCACATACTCTGAAGCCCGTAGTTTTTCAACTCCTCATTTTACTTTGTCTGTGCAATTTTATTTTGCCTTGATGATAAAGTCACCTTACGGTCCTGTACTGGTGGAACACACATAAACAAAAAGAAACTCACCCTACAAACACACATGGGGCATAGTTACCATCCACGACAGGAGGGCTTTCCTCTCAGAGGAAAACCAAGGTGAACAATATAGTGGTGCACGGTGAAGGTCGGGGGGATCAGTTGGTGTTTTTTTTAATTGAAGTATAATTGACTTACAATATTGTATTAGTCTCAGATATACAACATAGTGATTTGACATGTTTATACCTTATGAAACGACCACTACATTAAGTCTAGTTACCATTTGTCACCATACAAAGTTATTTCACTATTGACTACATTCTGGGGGGTCAGTTTTTGCGCCTCTAATATAAGCGGTGGGAAGACAAGACACCATGTATTCATCTTTTTTCCTCTTCATTTGATACCTATGTAGACCCTCCTGGGACCTTAACCACTGGTTTTACAGGGATTAAAAGGATTCTGACAACTTGTTTTGACCTATTTGTGGTAAAATGCTACAAAGAGAATCGATTGCTGTGAGCTGAGTCCCCCAGTGATAATTATGTATTTCACGGGTAGACAGTTTGCTTTTTAATTTGTGGCACTTGTTTTGCCATCCAGGTCTTCGCAAACCCCGGTTTCTGAGAACACAGGGGTGAAGTCTGTCAAGTGTCTGAATCAGGCGGATGAGTCAGGATCACACATTTTCTGGCTCCTCGGGCTGCCTGCAGCGGGAACGGCTTTAGGCGGGAACACATACTGACTTGTGCTCTGTCTTTACAGTTCTGTATGGAGCTAAACCAGCCAATCCTGCCCAACATCCGCAAGTGGAAGGGGCCCCGAGGATGCTGGAAGGCTGTTGTTTCGGAGAAGCCCACGACTCAGCTCCAGAAGGTACCCTCATCTGCAGATCTGGGGTTTCCCTTCCATTTTCTTTTCCCCTGATCACAGACATTTAAAATTATTTTCCTTTGCCAACATCGTTGATGTAATTTTGTATTTCTGCCCATTTTTTTAGCTCTGGGCCATTTGTTTCAAAATGCCCTGGTTCTCCTTTCCTGTTTGGATCAGGAATGCACTGCCGCCCATTCGGAAATGGGAGTTTGGGTGTTGGGAGGAAAGGAGAAATCCTGTCTGGAGCCAAGGCAGCAAATGGGGCATTTCTGTCCTTTGTGCTCCTAATCCCTTCTCCACAGTTCTAGCTTCTGCCAAGTTTGTGGAGAGCCCATTGTTCATTGACTGAAAACTTCAGATTCACTTAATTCATATGTGAAGTGTTTGCTTTCAGTGGTAGGAATTGTGCGTATGGAAATGCTCTGTGGAAGATTTCAGCAGATTTTAATTTTGAATTTTCTTTCATTAGTATTGCCCATATGGGTTTGGGTAAATCTCTGTAATGTATACATTTTCACTCCTACCTATGATATTCAAGAGCAGTTTTTACTCACTGGAAATATTCAATATCAGTGGAGTTTTAGATTTTTTTAAAAAGCCTCCTGATAATTATGAGTGGATTATATCATTACATAATTTTCCCATAAATGCAGATGTTATATTTTTTATCTCTAGGATACCTAATATGCTTATAAACACACATAAATTGTACTCATCTGAGTGATAGTTGAGATTTGGGGCTTTTAACTTATAAATGTTTACTGGATTAAAACTATTCAGTCACTTCTTGACAATAAGCTCTCTTTTTAGCTACTACTTTAAAGTGTGATGTAAATCTTACTTCTCTGGGTTTTGGGGTGTAAGTGGTTACTGCAGGTAACAGCCAGTGTACATTCACAAGGAGGCTGGAAATACAGCCATATTGGAAGGTCTCTGGTCTTTACCGCTCCAGCTCGTAGCCGTCCCTTCTCAGTCCACGTAGGAATAGTTCTGATACCACCTTGCTTTTATTTTTTTTTTTGCGGTCGCGGGCCTCTCACTGTTGTGGCCTCTCCCGTTGCGGAGCACAGGCTCCGGTAGCGCAGGCTCAGCGGCCATGGCTCATGGGCCCAGCCACTCCGCGGCATGTGGGACCTTCCCGGACCGGGGCACGAACCCGTGTCCCCTGCATCGGCAGGCGGACTCTCAACCACTGCGCCACCGGGGAAGCCTGCTTTTCTTTTAATAGCACTTTACACAAATATGTAGGTTCACAGGGCTCTTACAGTCCATTTAAGACTCTTTTTTCATCTGTTCAGCAAATCGTTAAAAAGGTTACTGTGTGCCAGGCACTATGTTATATGCCAGATATTCACGGTGAGAAAAATAGACCCAGTGACCCAGCTCTGCCCAGGGGCTTGGCTGAGCCTGATGGAGCCTGTTGGAGGGACAGGCCAGGTAACCCTACTCCAGGTCAGGTGTCAAGGCCATTGGAGAACAGTGTGTGGCTGCCACTCAGATCTCTCAGCCTCAATTCCTTCATCTGGAAAATGGGAGCAGCAGCCCCTCCCTCAACTCACAGGGTGGCTCTAGGATTTTAAAAGATAATGTGCACTGAATGCTTGATTAACAGACATAAGCCAGCGCCTGGCAGGGTACACATGAGGCGGCAGGCAGGTGTACTGGGAGCTGGTACCCGTCGCAGGCTGCAGCTGGTCCAGTTTAGCCAGTTGTTGCTGAGGGTATAAGGAACCAGCAGTGGAAAGCGCAGCATGAACAGCCTTGTGAGGCCAGAAAGGCCCAGTCTTGCCGGGAACATAGCTGAACAGGCATGAAAGGCAGCACTGAGCAGGGAGGTGCCCACCCGGAGGGCCCAGAGGGCAGTGGGCAGCAGAGCCACTGAAGGATTTTAAGCAGAAGGGGACCTGAGCAGTACTTTAGGGAGGTTACTCTGGCACCACTGCTTGGGAAACAGTAAATGGGGGGACAGCCCCCTGAAGCCGATAGGGCAAATACATTTCCCTCACTTTACGCCTGAGGAAACAGGTTTAGAAAAACAGAGTGGCTCCCCCGAGGTCCCAGGGCTAAGTGATTCGAGGGGATGAGACCCAGGTCTTCTCACTCTTAAACTAGCACTCATTCTAGTGGGTGGGCAAGTCAATCATTTAAAAATAGAAACATGCACAGCATGCAGGACACTGTTCCTTCCTTCCCCCCTCTTCAGCACACGTGTGGCTGGGACCTGAGCTGAACTTGGGGACTCATCAGAGGCCACTCAGGATGTGCAAAGTCACTTCTCCTTTCGCAAGAGCATCGCTGGCCCCTCAGATGACACTGCTGATCCCACCCGGGGAAGCAAAGCCTCCAGCAGCTGGGATCGGGGCAAGGGGATCTTTTCTCTTTCCACAAGCCACCTGGTGACAGCAGCACGAAGCAGGCAGGTTCAGAGCGGCCCCTCTGATGGCCAGAGGTGCAGGGGTTTATTTAGCCCCAAGCCCTTGACCCTGCCGACACCACCCCCATCCATCTGCCCCACTCACCGGCCTTCTCAGTGCCCTGCACTGGGGCTTCAGACCCCTGTGTGCAGCCCCGCAAGCCTGAGGAGGGCCTTTGACCAGTTCTAAACCACTGGGACTGGTAGCCCTGAGGCCTCTTCATCCAGCAAATATTTATTGAGCTTCTGCTAGGTGCCAGGCCCCAGTTGTTATCAACAGCAATTAATCAGTAAGCAAAACCACCCCTTGGAGTCTTATATTTGACCCTCAGCATTGCCATTTACCAGCTGTGGGGTTTCGGGGGAGTTACTTAACCTCTCTGAGCAGCTGAGTCTTCATCTGACAGATGGGCGTGTGAGTGGCTACCTCATGGGAGGCGATGATTAAAAAGATAACTCCAGGGGGCTTCCCTGGTGGCGCAGTGGTTGAGAGTCCGCCTGCCGATGCAGGAGACACGGGTTCGTGCCCCGGTCCGGGAAGATCCCACATGCCGCGGAGCGGCTGGGCCCGTGAGCCGTGGCCACTGAGCCTGCGCGTCCGGAGCCTGTGCTCCGCAACGGGAGAGGCCACAGCAGTGAGAGGCCCGCGTACCGCAAAAAAAAAAAAAAAGATAACTCCGTGCCTAGTCTGGGCTGCACCCAATCCCCCCAAAAGTAGAGCCCAGGAACCCCAGCTATATGTGAAACTCTCTGAAATTGCCAGTCTGGGAAATTTGGTGGGGGAACAGGGAGGAACATGCCGTGGCTTTTGGATGTGCTTTTGTCTCAGAAACAGGCCTTGGGCAGGTAACCCCAGGACCCGGTGTAGAGCCTGCTGCTTCCCCCCTCGTCTCCTCCTGGCCTCACCTGCCGCTTCCCCAGCTCGGGGCTGAGCCCCTGCCACCAGACAGACCCCTCTGCACACTAATGCCTCGTCTTCTCCCGCAGGGCGCTGGCTTTGCAGGGTTCCTGTGGGACGCCGCGGCTGGGGTGGAACTGAGAGATGCCACCTGGCAGGAGAACTCGCCTGGCAATGGGCACGGGAAGCCCACAGGCCCCAGCCCGTACCTCGTGAGGTTCAAGGTACTGCTTGCTCATGTTCCCGTGAAGGGCCACTCCTCCTAAAAAGGAAAAAAAGTCCCCTTTTGAACTGGGAGCCAGAGAAGCTCATCTTTTGGCTTTGGTTTTCTTCTCTCCCAGGGCTGGGTCAGCATACACTCTTGGGGTTCCCTTGGCT